GCTTATCACCAGGCGAGATAGTGGTCAAATGTCGCCCCATCAAATATAAAAAAGACTCCTCCGTTGTAGAAGGGGCTCATAATCCAGAAGTTGACTCTTATGGAATATTGATGGATGAATAAGTTAATGAAATTACTCTCTGTCTGTCTGTCGATATATGAAACATAATAGAAAACACATTGTGCCTCGCGTAGATTTGGCGTTTCGACACTTTAATACATTTTATACGTGAATCTAACATAACATCACGCCTTTTATCCCCGAAGGGGTAGGCAGAAGTGTACCTATATTATGCCACTGTACAATATAACACCCACTTTTCACTACTTATGTTATGAGTCCCATGTAATAGGGGGTGACCCTATTGCCATATACCGGACTTTCCAGATCCCGTTTTATAAAAACTCAGTAGTATTTTGCCCGACCCGGGAATACCCCTTGCCGGGCAGTTGTACTTGCGACCATGCGCCAACGAATCTACTAATCTAAAAATATTTTTTCTCTATTTCTAGAAACGAGCCTGTCGAACTAGGACCTCCGCAGTGTGTATAATTACTGAAAAGGTGCCACATAAGGCGGACCAGTAGAGGGATCTGCCGACTTCATTCACAGCAACAGACTTCAAAAAGAAAACTTGAAAATGGAACAATTCTATTCCACCAATTGGGGAATCACGAACAAGTTCGAACCAAAACAATTTAACGAAGGCCCATTTCTTAGCCATTTCTTAAACGAGACGGATATTTTTTTCATAATATTCCTTCTCTTTATATATCATTACGAGATGTATTGCGAAAATCTGAATTACAGGTTCCCTGCAGAAGAACTTATTAATATCGTATTCAAAATGGCTTTATATTTAATTATATTTTTTAATTGCTTCAACTTGTTATTTATGGTTGTCGTTGAATTTACCAGGATATACCTTGGCAATCGAACTGCTATTGGTGGTATCCCTATAAATTCAAATCTCGAATTTATAAATACATCAAGACCGGATATTTTCGCAAATAGTTCTTCAATGTGCTTTTTACCTTAATTTTGTAGAAGAGCTCTGTTTAGTTTACTGTATATGTAGTAGTGTTTCATCACTAATAGGGTAGATGACTAATTTTTATTTTAATGTCCGTCTGGTAGATTATTTTGAAACATTACACACGAAACGAATACTTTCGACGATATATTCATTTGAAATGTCGCGTGACGTCACTTTTATGTCACTTTTATGTATATTTTATACGTAGAAATGACGTTTTAGCCCCCACTCCTAAACTTGGATTCGTTATATCTAAGTATCATTTTATTATACAACAAAATAAAAAAATACGTGTCTAATATTTTTTCATTACCTAACTGACGGACTAATTAGATTTTTAATTTTCATACCCTGTCATCATCCCTATTGAAGCTCTTAAAATCGATGGCGAAACCAACTTATAACTTGTATTGAAGACTAAATATAAATGCTTCTTTAAAAAAATATGAGTTAATCATAACATTACATTACGCAAAATAATTAATCTGTCTTAATTTCAAAATAATTAATTCATTAAACGTAAATATTTTATATAAAAATGATTAATCAACAATTAAACAAGAGTAATGGCTTTTAAAATGTACGTTTATTTGTGAAATAAATTACAATAGTAGGTGATATGTCTTACATTCTAACTCACATAGGTACATCAGGATTTAATTAAACATGTTTTCATAGACTACAAAAACTACTTATTATGCATAAAGAGATCTATAGTTTACACATTTTATACACTAATTATAATTACTTAAATTGATACACATTAATTACAATTACATATATTGGTTTTATAATGATAACATAACAATATAATTATCAACAAAAAATGTATCACGATTGTATTCATCACTGTTTTTTGTTAAAACAATATTAATATCAGGCTTACACAAATGCCGATCGATTGAGAATTATTTATACAAAAATTATTATATTTTCCAATGACAACCACTTCCATTTTGAAGACTAATAACAATCACATTACGATTTATCGTCGAAAAAATACGATTAACAAATCTAAAATTCTATAGCCCCGTCAAATGTATGAAAACCATGTGTAATCTATTCATATCAGTAATACATTATATTCGTAATTTAGCCATATGGCAACAGTAGAGTAGAACGCTCACTAAGAGACTACAATAATCATTTTGGGTTACGATTAATCACTCCACGTTGCGATTAATAACTCGATTACACTCGACACGCTACGATTAGTAACGGTTAATCTCGTAGATATCAAGAATTTGTCTCCACTTAAAATCCAAGTAAGGGACATCATATTACTATGACTGCGATTAATCAACAGCGTTTTCTAATTAATTAAGACGTTTTGAAAATGCAATCTTCATCCCTGGCTTTTTATATATATGAAGTCAACAGTACAGCAATGGACGGTGACGGACTATTAATGATGACACTCGTTAATGGAGTTTCTTGCTCGTTCTTCTCCACTCGAATCGACATTTTGGAACGAGCGCTTAGCTTCACTGACAGACAGACTGACAGACTATTATTTATTTCATATTTGTTGACGTTTCAAAAGTACCAAATTATGGTTTAGTTGAAATAAATGCTTTTGAGTTTGACAATTTTTTGATATTACTAAAAGATTTTTTATTTCTGTTGTTTATAACATTTAACCAATCAAACTACTTTTCAATCAAGGACATTATTAAACATAACATTATTTGGGTCCCAACTGTTTCCAACTACAAAAACTATTTGTATAAAATAGATACGGTATGTATTGGTATACATATATGTATATCATATCACTTATACTACACATAATATACCACTTCTATTTTCTCATTCTGTATATGTACGGTCAAAGGTCAAAAGTCCACTGTCCACCGTAAGGCTACTATCGGTTGCGCTGCAGCGCTTACACATACATGCACACGCATATTTGTATCCGTGTGCGTACGCGTGCGTGTGTTTATGCGTACGCACGAGTTTTTATGCACATTAATATGAAATTACTTACGCATTGCCGTGTGAATATCACTCACGGTGGCAGTGGACTTTTGACCTTTGACTGTACAATGTGCTTTTAAAATCCAGTCCTAAGAGATTTTTAATATCGAAACTAAAAACTTTTTGATTAAATTTTGCAAAATAAAAATACATATTATTCAGAGTTTGTAATTTAATATTTTTATGGTCTTGTCAGGGTTGTTTTTATATAAAAAAGTGTACAACTGTACAAGAAAATCAAATTTTGGATAACAATGGTTGTGATACAAGTCTTATACCAAAGCATGTAAGACTGTATACGATCTCGTATGTTAGAATTTACATATTATGTATGTACTATGTATACGTCAAAATAGTTGGTAATATTATCAATATCGTAATTTCTAATATACATTCTCTGGGTAGCGATTATTTAATTTGGTTAGCGATTAATCAATCGAGTTAACAAAAAATCACTCTGGGTAATAATTAATCAATCTGGGTAAAGATTAATCAATTTGGGTAACGATTAATCAATCTAGGTAACGATTAATCTCGCGATTATCGATATTATTTTCCTTAATCTTTGTGGTTTTGATGTATACAAATTTTTCAATTCAATCAATTGAATACTTCAACCAATTTTTTTGACGTAAACATGGCAGTATTTTATTTAAGACCTATTATTATTTAGGCGTTTTTTTTAAATATTAAGCTGTATCTTCCAGCCCTTTTTATAAATATTTGTATTTTTGGAAAGCACATTCTGAGCTACAATATGAAAACCCCTATAAAAATGTCTGCTATGGTACAAATTGTATAAAAAAAACTTGATCTCTAATTGGCCTTCCATCCTTTTAAAACCGGACTACCACTGGGTTTTCACTAATTAGTATACCTAATAACATTTTTACATCTTTGAATGTTAACTTCTGAAAATGATAAGATAAAAAAGAAAAAATAACAATATCTTTCATAAAATTGTGTAACCGTCTCATTTATTCTTACTGTGTAATTTATGTAGCATGTGTAATTGTGTGTAACATTGTAATAATTAATCAATTCAAACTTTTAGATTAAATCGTAAAATAAAACGACATTCAAATCTAAATACCGATTCAAAACACCGTAAAGTCATTAATCGATTCATTTACGTATCGATTTTAATCATCAATCGATATCTAATCATAGAATTCATATTCGCATAACATTGTTAACACAATTGTTTATTCTGTATTTAAATTTGAATACCGTTTTATTATATTGAGTCCTATTTAATTAGTAAAGGACAACTAAGCTAAAAGGAGAGGAAAGCTAATAAACCGGCCCGGAGGTTTAAGATGCGTAATAGTGCAGTTTCGAAACCTTCCAAAGGCAAGTACCAATGTGTGAATGTAACTTCTTTAGAGTTATATTTACTTTCTATTATTTAGATACCACTGACAAACGGTGAAGGAATCATGAGGATACCCGTATTGAGCAAGTGTAGTGATTAACACTCAAACATTATCCGCGTGAGAAGAGGCATTTGGTTAGCAGTGACCACTTAATAATGATGATATTGATGTTGAAGCTGTCCTTTTACACTCCCTCATATCAGAAATAATAATTTACTTATTTAATACAAATGCTATTGTTATTATTTATGATGTAAGTAAAATGAATGAGTTTAAAACACAACTTTCAAAAGTTGATACGTACTATCTCGTATTTAGCGTAGCTGTCCTTTACTATCAAATAAAGGACACTCCATATAATAATTATATCACTTTAACCTGTAGTCGTTATAAATGGAATGAGTAGATGTGTGTTTACAGAATGATATCTATATATTAACTAAAAATCGCGGGTTACTCACGTGAATATACTGAGAAAAGCTCTACTAGTTTCGAACCACAGAGGGGTTCTTCCTCATGAGCAGCGTGCAGTCGCGGCGATGTCGTGCAACCTACTGGTAAAAACTAGTAGAGCTTTTCTCAGTATAATTCACGTGAATAACCCGTGATTTTAGTTAATTTAGTATGTCTCATGATATCTATATATCATATATAATATTCAATATGTATTTTAGAATATAATCTAAGTTATTTTTGGGTTTATTTTATCTAATCGATTATATTGTACTTATATAATTATAGTAAAACGTATTAAATTATGTTAATAAATGTATTAATGTGACTCTAAATTCGTTTGATTCTTTCTACATTTTATTTTTATCGCATTTTACAATATTCTCACATATTTCTTTAGATTTTGATACACCAAAATCAACCTTACTGTTCTATAACGTGTAAGCGATATTAAACCTTGTATTGGTAATTTTACAGTTGCTTTTGCAACAAATGTGCCTACGCACTAAGGGCCAAACTTAAAATTTAAAACACAGATTTTTGCGAGGTTAAATAATAACAATTCTAGTCTAAACACTGGTTAGTTATAAATTACTTTAAGAATAAACTAAAAATACAGAAATGTTTATAAACTGGCAAGAAAAATCACTGAACTCTTCCATTGACAGAAATGAACCTTAAGCAAAAGCGTTAAAGTCTAAGTTCAACAAGCATCAACTTCAGTAGTAACACTATAATCTAAAACATGTCTAATTGCAAGGGCATAAAGTCTATATTATTTCATGTATTCACTACATATAAATTCGATAGATGTAAACATTCTATTTTCAAAAATATGTTTCTAATTTCAACAAACAATTAACAGCAAAACACAAAACGTTCTAACGCACAAAACAACACATTCTAAAATGTACTTTAGTGGTAGGTGATAAAGTCTATGTTACCTTATAAATATATCACAGTTACTCCAAGGGTTTCCAACACACGATGGCTCTCATATCGTCGGGGGCTTTCCCGAAGATCCTGTCGCCGTTGGGGTCAACGTACTGGTTTATCTGATAGTCCAGGAGCGTCTGGTAGCCTAGTACATCTGTACCAAGTTGCTGTAACAAAGGGATTTATTTTTTTGAAAAACACACAACATAACATAACATCACGCCTTTTTATCCCCGAAGGGGTAGGCAGAGGTGTACATTTTGCCACTGTACAATGTAACACCCACTTTTCATTATTTATGTTATGAGTCCCATGTAAAAGGGGTGAGCCTATTGCCATATACCGGGCACAATTCCAGACTCCGTGCTACTACTGAGAATTTTTATAAAAATCCAGTAATAATTTGGCCGACCTGGGAATCGAACCCGAGACCCCTTGCCCGGCAGTCGCACTTGCGACCACTCAGCCAACGAGGCAGTCGATTTCTCATATGTCGTAGGTGCATTTACAAACATACAAGTTCACATACACATGACACCCAGACTCAACAACAATCTGTGGATCACACAAAGAGTTGTTCCGTGCGGGAATCGAACCAGCCAGCCCATCCACCGCGCCAACTGTGCAATTCTTATTCACTTTATTTATCTGGGTATCTGTAAACTCAGTAGTTACGATGGCATTTTTGGCTACTCGACCTCTCCACGTTTCGTATTTCAGAATATAAATAACATCTGGGACCCCAAGAGTTCTTACAACACAAATCTTTGTCTTGTCTATTGTTTAAATTCATTTAAACCTTACCTGTGTCAAAGGGCTAGTATTAGTGGTGAAGACGCCGAGGAATCCTCTATCCTTGGCGATGTTCATGGTGGCGTTCTCCAGCGCTCTGATGGCGGCCACGTTCTCCCTCGGAGTCAGGCTCTCTGCCGTCGCCATCATGAAGGAGTGGAGGATTGTGCCTGTGAAGGAGATGGAGATTGTAATCCTTATCCTTATATATATATATATATCCTTACTATTATAAATGGGAAAGTGAGTTTGTTTGTTTGTTTGTTTGTTCCGACTTCACGCCGTAACTAAACCGATTGAATTTTTGCAGACGTAAAGTTTTCAACACACCTAAAAGTAGTCACCGCATTCACACACCTGGAACACTAGTACCTAGTGACATTTTAATTGACAAATATATTTATTTACATAAAATGTTTAATTAACTTAGTGATAGGATATTTTGAATTCACTTTCACTTATATTACAATACTAATGTGTAAGTTTGAATTATGAATACTGAATTTTTCTTCGAACAATATTATATAATGCCGCGGAGTGCCGCCATTTTGTAATGTGCATGCCTCAAGGCGTAATAATTATGGTTGGAATGGAACAGGGGTGTAGCGTATCTTGGCGGGGCCCCGAATAACCATTTTTTAGGGGCACTTATGAAAGATACTTAAAAAAATCGTGTTAAAACCCGCAAACTTCAGGTCGGGCCTCTGCCCAAATTATCGCTCAATGATTACTTTATTTTTCCCAAAGTTTCTGCCCTGGAATAGATTCCCTTATTCCATAGTTTATGGTAACCTTTGAACGCATGCATTTTGTGATTACTAAAATAAAATATAAATTGAGAAGTTTCTATATTTTTGCCTATACACGGTGGGAGCCCCCGGAGTGCGGAGGCCCCATATAAATATGATTGATACGGCAGATATGGCGTTAGCTACGCCTTTGGGTCAAACTGTAGGTACCTACTACTTAACGGCTAACAACTTAACCTAATTTACCCATGTTAACGAATAAATGATTGATTTGATTTTTTTTAGTGATACAATCAAATAACCGATTGCTAGACGCTGTAATGACGCAATAATAATTACTATAACTGTATTGTTAACCGAAAAATGCTGATCATGAAAATACTTTGCACACTATATAAACAGTAGAGGCCACCCCATCATCTTCAATTTATCATTGATCCTTTGATTCTATTTTACAAAAAAAAAACTTGTTCGAAACTCACCCTTTCCAGGCGGCAGCATAGAATCTCTGACAGAACTTTCGACGAACTCCAAGAACATCATGATCTTCATCAGTCCACCTGTCTCTTCAGACTCCACGTCAGGTTCATCTCGAGCGTCGAAGTTTAATGCCACAGCAACTGGGACTCCTGATGCTGTAGGAAAGAAGGAAGATTTCGTATGTTCATCGTCAGGATTAACATGAAGAATATAATCACTATAAAAAGCCGAATGTACCTAAAGAAGGCCTACGCTTGGTAGATTTTCAGGACTTGAGAATGACAATTGGTTCATAGATAATTTAGAGGATATTGCTACCTGGGTCTCAGCGATTAACTCGTCGAGTACCGGTTTTGTAGACACAATTATAGAACAATAGGTTGCGGTCACCGGTGACCGCTTGGTGTTTAACAGTTTAATCGCAGTTTTGGTTAGAACGTGTTCCAATAAAGGCAAATCCTATACTAATCCTTACTATTATAAATGTGAAAGTGAGTTTGTTTGTTTGTTTGTTTGTTCCGACTTCACGCCGTAACTACTAAACCGATTGCATTGAATTTTTGCAGACGTAAAGTTAGTAGTCTGGATTAAATAATAGGGTACTTTTTATCCCAAAAAAAATTGATATTCCCGAGGGAAAACAAAAGTATTGGTATAGATGGCGCTGTGTGTATTGGTATATGTCACATAGACTACTTTTTATCCTTTTGTGACGCGAGCGAAGCCGCGGGTAAAAGCTATCCTTACTATCCTTACTATTATAAATGGGAAAGTGAGTTTGTTTGTTCCAACTTCACGCCGTAACTACTAAAACGATTGCTTTGAATTTTTGCAGACGTAAAGTTAGAAGTCTGGATTAAATCATAGGGTACTTTTTATCCCGGAAAATTTTGATATTCTCGAGGAAAAACGAAATCACTGGTATAGATGGCGCTGTGTATGTCACATAGGCTACTTTTTATCCTTTTGCGACGCGAACGAAGCCGTGAGTAAAAGCTAGTAAAATAATAAAAAGGCAGCGTACTTCAAACATTTAACAATAGTTTACTTTAAGATACCTATAGTTGTAAACTTGTGTTACATCAGTGTTTGACGTAGTTACTTCAGTAGACTGATTTTCTAATGTAACAAAACAGTATATGTATGTAAAGACAAATTACAAAATTATTTTATTGAAGAATTCAAACAAACAGTTTTGTAGTGCTGTTATCTACCGCTAAGACGAAGACAGAATTTGGTCGACAATGTCAAGCAATGGGGATGATGACAGGGTATGAAAATTAAAAATATAATTAGTCCGTAACTTAGGTAATAAAAAAATATTAGACACGTATTTTTTTATTTTGTTGTATAATAAAACAATACTTAGATAAAACGAATCAAAGTTTAGGAGTGGGGGCTAAAACGTCATTTCTTAGTATAAAATGTACTGAGAAGTGACGTCACGCGACATTTCAAATCAATATATCTTCGAAACTATTCGTTTCCGTAAGAAAATAAAAAATACGTGTCTAATGTTTTTAAATAATCTACCAGACGGACATTAAAATAAAAATTAGTCGTCTACCC